AAAAGATAATTGTTATTACAGACTAATTTAATTAAATATCGATATTATTATAAACATACAAATTTCATATATTTATTTATAATATACTCAACACCACTGCGATAATACGTCACATACATAGTATAACGATTATCGTGATATATCAAACAATTGTAAATAATTAGGAAATAACTGAAAAATAAAAAATTGGTAGAATAATTATTTAAAAAATCGAAAGTAAACGATGTATTTATTTATCTATTATTTAACACACTATTGCACTCCAATATTAATTTATTACCCAATCTAACTAATAATAAATATATCAACTAAATAAATAAAAGATTTCCACGAATTATTATAGGCTTAAGAAAAACGAGAATCGAACGAGTAATTTGAGCTTGCAATTTTGATAAATAACCCTTTCAGTTAAAATAAAAAGTAAAATAGGTCTCCGGATCGAATTCTGAAATTGTTCCGTAGGGAATAATTTATCATTTTAAGTATAGCGTTGCGGAGAGGTTGAAACTGCAGGTAAACATATAGGTATAATAATAGTGGTGTAATAAAAAAAATAAAAACAACGTGCACTAGTTATGTCGAAAGGTTAATCCATTTCCCCTTCGGCATTAAAATACGAGTTCGTGTTACTCGGTTGCAGAAAAGCAGGTCATTTAAATTGCTGAAACTGCGTCCAGCTAAAATAATTATACGTTTTACGAACACGCGAGTGGCTGCTTTTCACCGATCGGAATGTCAGGACCTCTTTCGCAACGTACAAGGAAGTTTTGCTAAGTCACGCCGGCTAGACGCATTATTCTGCCAACGTGTTCGTATTACAAATGAAGAAATTGTTCGTTAAACACCTTGCGCGATGTACAAATATTTTTCGACTTGGTAATTAACAATTTCGAAACCAATCTTGCCTTATCCTACTACCATGTACATAACACTGTACAATTTCGTAAAGTATACAATGCAAAAATTTAATTGCAGAGTTTAATAGAATTCGAAATAAAAATTTAATAAGTAAGAAAATAGTATACTTCAATAGCAAAAGTTTAATAACAAGAATTAAAGATTTAATTATAAAATAATAAAAATAGGAAGTTTAATGATACAATAATATTTAATACTATGAAGATTTAATAATTTAATAATAAAGAAACATAACAATGGAATCTTGAAGATCTAATAATAGAATAATAATAATTTAATAAAACAGAATGTTATACTTCAATAGCAAAAATTTAATAATAAAAGTTAAAGATTGAATTTTATAATAATAAAAGTAGGAAATTTATAGTACAATAATGATATTTAATACTACGAAGATTTAATAATTTAATAATAACGAAATATAATAATGGAACCTTGAAGATCTAATAATAGAGTAATAACAAATTTTAACCTTCCAATAGATAATTTAATAATATAAATTTTGATAAATTATAGAGGAAATAAAAATTAAATTGGAAAACATAGACGATTATATTTTATAATATTTTATTAAAATAAGAAATAATTTTGATGCTAGAATACTGCATAAAATATTGAACACTGCAACGACCAAGTACCAACGATTAAAATAATTGCCACCTCCAAAAATGTTCCATTCGAAGGGATATAAAAGCTTATGGCGATTGCACCTGCCTTTCAGCACCTGGTGTGGAGCCTTGTCCAAGAACGAACGACCTGGCACAATACGACAGATGCGTTGTGAAGCAATTGAACGTCATAACACCGTACCTGGCCAAGGGAATCCCTTCCCTGAAGTTGCCAGCCCTGGACCCCTTGTTCTTGCCATCCTTGACCGTGGACAGAAACCTAGAGGCGTTGAAAATCAAGGCAAATATGAGCCAGATTCGCGTGTACGGCGCGACAAATTTCCTCATCGATGACCTGAAGGCGAATCCCAATGATCTGTCAGTTAGTATCAAGGTTCAGCTGCCTCACGTTCACGTGAACGGCGACTATGACGTACAAGGAAGGTTGCTATTGCTTCCATTGAACGGAGCTGGTAGCTTCAAAGGAAACTTCAGTGAGTCCCTCTTGGAATCTTTCTTTTTGACTTTTGAAAAAAAATTAAATTTTGATTCGGGTTTCAATGTTTTCTAATTTTTTAATTTCCAAGTCTGGATATTTGGATTTTGTTTGATTTTAAATGTTTTCTTCTTTTTGTTGCTACAGCTAACACCGAAGTACAAGTGAACGCTCAGGGTAAAGAAGCCACTGATAAAAATGGAGTACAGAGGATCGAGGTTGATAAATTGGTAACGAAAATTCGCGTTGGGGATGGAAATATCAAATTAAAAGCACCACCTACTCATACTCTAGCTGGTGAGTATCTTCCCAATAAAATCCTAATAAAGTCCATTAAACTTGGATTAATTCATCAATCAACTTTGATGGAAAATGTTTTACCCAAATTTCTGAAAATTTGTTAGTCGTAATTTAATTCCATATATGTGGATATAATCTTCCACATAAAATCCTTATCCAATTAAATATGAAATAATGGAATAGACTTCTTTTGAGTCCATCAAACTTCGATTAATTTAACCACCAATCTAACTGTGATGAAAAATGTTTTACCCAAATTTCTGAAAATTCTTTAGTCGTAATTTAATTCCATATATGTGGATCTAATCTTCCTTATAAAATCCACATTGAATTAAAAATGAAATAACGAAACAGGCTTCTTTTGTGTCCTTCAAACTCTGATTACTCCGTCAACTAACCTAACTTTGTCGGAAAATGTTTTAACAAAATTTCTGAAAATTCTTTAGTCATTATTTAATTCCTTATAAGTGGATATAAAATTTGTTCCCAATGGACTATAAATTTTTCTAAATTTAAATGCAAGAAAATTCTTTTTGGCAGTCCAGATGACCATCTCCAGAATTAAAAATTAAATTCTTCTTTCACACAATCTCAAATCATTGTGTCGAACTTCCTTCTTCCTTTAGCCTTCGGTCCTTCTTTTCTCTGTCCGTCTTGCACCTATCAATCCAATTTCGTCTTTTCAGCTGACGCAGCTGCCACGTTCTTCAATTCGAATCCACGCTTAGTTTTGGACATCGCCAGCCCGATTATCGAGGACACTGCTGCGACAGTTAGCCGAGCATTGGCTGCTAGAGCGTTAGGGGCCCTCACGAAAGCGGAATTGCTTCCCTAGTCCACGTTTTCAACCTTAGGTGACCCCATAAGTAATAGCGGAATGCCTTTAACACGTTTCCTATCCTGTGGTTTGCGATAAAAATTATTTTCGTTAAATTATTTACCGAAATTTTAATTATCTCTTATTTCATACTCTATTATTACGTGAAACTACTAATATCGTATAGTGATTTTTATTTCACAAAGTTTTCGCGTTGTATAATTAAAAGAATGTTAAATTTTTAATGATTTCGAAAGAATTTTAGATTTGTGGATCGTGGAATTTTTAAATGATCAAATTTAACAAAATTTTAATTATTAAATTACTAAATTTAAAAAATTTCAATTATTGAGTTACCTAATTAATCAAATTTTAAATCATTATTAATACAAAATATTTATCATAATAAATTGGTAATTATATGGATCGGAAACGTCTTAAAGTAGAAAGGAGCGAATTCTCTCGATTGTAGTTAGATCGTTGTAGAAGTAGTTGTAGATTGTTGATTGTAGTGCGTTTTAAACGCGTAGCGTGAATAACGATAGTGCTAGAATAATGAATGGTTATTTGTCGTCATTCGTGACCTGCGTTGAAAATGGACATGTGGTTTTTATCGATTATCGTAATAATTTGTGATTCAATATTGTATAGATTATCACAAGTCTTCGCGTGTGATTTATCTATGAATTTGAATACTTCGTATTATATTTAAATATCTATTTTCATAACTCGTTTCATCATTTATGGACAAATTTTCTTGCTCTTCGATTATCGTTTGACGTTATGAATGATGACATTAGAGAAGTCACCTCTTGTAGATTTTTTTATTAATCGTTGTCGTTTGTTATACCATATGATTACAATAAGTAATAGTAGTCTAGTATTAATGATATGTATAATTTTTAATGAATTTTACGATAGTCTTTAAGCTGTATATAAATTTGTGCTTTAATATAGAACATTGCAAAGAGTATCAGTTCCGAAAAGTACCTAATTATTGAAAAAAATTAAATTTAAAAGTTAAAAATTTTTTAATTTTAAAGAATTAAATTTATTAATTAATTTCATTCGCTTATCAATGTTTTCAATTGATTCTAGAAATTGAAAAGTTCATAGATTCGTAGGTGAAAAATTTTCAACTTATTTTTGGTCTTTTTAAGTCTATTGTTACGATTATGAAGCTACGTGAAAAATTTTTTAATTATCTTAGGTATCTTTAAGTGTATTGTTACGATTATGAAGCTTCGTTTAAACTCGGTATTAGGAAATGAGTTCCAACAATTAGTCAATTGACGATGATTATTCAATTATTTCCAAAAAATAAACTTGTTTGACAAATCAGAGTACTATTACAGAATTTTTAAATTAGTTTAAACAACTGTTTGTAGTCGTTATTCTGATCACCTGTTTCTTGTCCTTCCTGGTTTCTTGTGTGTCATTTGTAATTCAAGAATCATTAGGATGCGACAAATAAATGTTACAATAAATCTTATGTAAATTTATCTCATCTCGATTTTATTGCATTATTTAATTCTGTACATTCTACGTCTATTCTATAATCACACCTAACTGCAAACACTTTCCAGAATTTGATGTGCAAATGATTATAACAAATGTTCCAATTATTCTCTTCGTTAAAAGAATATAATATTCCCTGCTTATCCCAAAATATGACTAACTAATTTCTAGTTAACTCTATTACATTTTATTATTCATTGATTATGATTTTATTAATTATCAGAAATTATAAAGAAAATCTGAGTCTCCAAATTCCTTCCTCCATTCCATCGTGGATTGAAAATAAAAACAACGTAGACTCCCTTGAATTTAATATAAAGCAGCTATACACATTTTTACAAGAATTTTTACACAAAAATCGTATCTTCGTTTATGAGAAATCGAAATTTCGACTCTGAAGAGTTGCAGTTTCTACGAGAATTCGTTTAATCATCTGGAAACAGTTCTTTGTACGTGAAGGACTTCGTGATCTTATTGGCCACGTCTGTGAACAGCTCTGCCAATGATAATTCCAAAACTGGCGTGATTTCGTCCAGGAAGAGTGCGTTGTTGTTGTTCAACAACTCGTGAGTCGCAGCAGCTAATTGGAAAAAAGAGAAATTAATTTTCTATGGTATACAGAATTCTACAAATTATTTCATACATAAAACTAACGAAAAGATTGAAATTATTCAATTCAAAATTAAAAAATAAATATAATAGCAAATCGTATGAAAAATATTTAACGATCGAATTAACTATCATAGATTATAGTTTATAATATACTTATTCTATAATAATTCTATAATAATACGAAATTTCGTGTTGAGAAAATTAAATTTAGAAAAGTTGTATAATAAAATTCCACATGACGTGGGATACTATGCAAATTTTGGTAAAAACAATCATCACGATGCTCGGAAAGCAGTATGATTTCGAAGAAATTTCTTTCTCAACGAAATTCTTATAAAAATGATTCATAACTATAAGTACGAGGACCTGTTTAATTAATGAGCTAATTAACTTACAAAGGACTGTGTCGCCGCCAAACAAATTACTCAGATGCAAATTTGCCTTGCCTATCTTGATCTTCACCTTCATCCTCTCAAAATTCAGGTAGGTATCGCCGTCTCTGAACACCTTGCGTGCTCTTAAGACGACGTCTGAGTCATAGTCGGCTTGTAAACACGAGCAAATCGAGTAAGTACATTAGAACAACAAAAAACAATATTTATGATCATTTACGAGCGACAAGTGGCTTCTTATATATTCCAGGATGCAAATTAAAACGTGAATAATTATTAATTACTATAATAAAGAGTAATTACTAAAGGTTCCAGTGAGTTCACCCTGTCCTGTCAGTTTCAGTAACAGCACTCTCGTGTTTATTTGATATTTCCCTTGGAAGTTCAATTTCTCGAAATTCACCTTGAACGTGAACACCACGTTTTCCACATCTGCCTTGAGATCGCGAATTTTGAACGTGGATGGTCCAGATACCTATTTCCATGGTCGTAAAACATAAATCCATTTCAGAATAGAATCCACCAATGAGAAGATCTTCGAATAAATATTTACACCGATTTCAAAAATAATTTCAACTATTCGCACATAAAATTAAATTAATATGATAGAAAATAATACGACATGCTTCAATTTTAAATTGAAATTAAACGAAATTAAATTGTATTACTTAATGGGAAATTTTTAAATCGAAACTTTGATATCAATATTTTTCTCTTGATATTGAGATACTTGTGGAAGGTTGAAAAATATTAAAAGATGTATACTAAATACATTTTTCATAAATTAGATCCTAGGATTTAGTTCCTAAAATGATTTAATAAGTTACTTAGATTTCCTTAAAAGAGGAAAATTGCTGTGAAACGCCCGCATTAAAGATTTCCTACGTTTCCATACACGCTCGAACATAAGTATGTCATAGTGATTTTCCAATCGATTATTAATCCTTTGCACCCGATGATTTTTTGGCTATAAAAAGGTAGGAGTTGAAAGATTTTCTAGTAGAGAGCCGACGATAGTTTTCTGAGCAGTAAATAAGAAATTTATAATAATTAACACATAGAATTATTTGATTTTGATACCTCTCACGCCGTTACATTATCTTAAATTTGACATATTAATTAATATCGATGTTCGAAATTTTATCAAATGGAGACTGAAGGGCGCCTCTCGAGTGCAAAGGGTTAACATAAAGGCTAATTTGTAACAAAGCGGAATGCTCGAGTTGCTGCACATTTACCCTTAAGTCGGTGATATTGATGTCAAGTCTAGCTCCAACGGGTCCTCGAAACAGACGAATTTCCTTGAGATTCAGGGGTTCGATGGCAGGTGCTTCCAGCTCTGGTATCCCAGTCGCTAATTTGTCACGAAGCTGGTCGATGGACCTGGTGATGCACTTGTTGATATCCGGGTCGCTCTTCTTGCAGGGTTTTATGTAAGGTGCTGTGAAATTGAGTCATCGCTGAAACTGGATTAGCTACTGACTTGCTGCCACGATAGAATCGCACTGAGCGAATCGAAAAGACCCATGGATTATGCTACTAAGCGAATGTGATATGGACTGTCAACGAGTAAACACGAGAAACTATGAATCGGGTATGAACTGCCTATAATAAAAAATCAGGGATCAGAGATCAAACATCAGAAATAAATTAAGATCATGGATCAGGAAACGTAGATAAGAGGTCAAATTAATGGCTGAGAAGCCATTAATTGTGTATCAAAGGTCAGAAATTATTATTATATAATAATTATCAGAGATCAAAGGTGGTGGATCAGGAGTCATTAATCGTGGATCAGAGAGCAGAGATTGTGGATTAGCAATCATTAATTGCGGATTAAGGACTATGATTCAGTAATCAGGAATGAAGAAACAGGTACCATATATTAGGAAACAAAAATCAGCGATGAAGAATCAAGTATCAGGTATCAGGTACCAATAATCAAAAATCAAGAGTCAAGTACCAGGTGTCAGGTATCAAGAATCGAATATCAAATACCAGTTCTCTGGAATGAAGAATTAGAAATCAGAGATTAGAAATTAAGAATCGTGGTTCAAGGATCAAGAATCAAGCACCAGAACCAAGTATCAAGAATCAGGTATCAAGTATCAAGTACCAGGACCAAGTATCAAATAACAAGGATCAGGTATCAAGTATCAAGGACCAAGGATCAGGTATCTAGAATCAAAGATCAAGAATCAAGTAGCAGGTGTCAGGTATCTAGAATCGAATATTAGGTACCAGTTCTCTGGAATGAAGAATCAGAAATCAGAGATTAGAAATTAAAAATCGTGGTTCAAGGATCAAGAATCAAGTACCAGAACCAAGTATCAAGAATCAGGTATCAAGAATCAGGTATCAAGAATCAGGTATCAAGTATCAAGTACCAGGACCAAGTATCAAATAACAAGGATCAGGTATCAAGTATCAAGGATCAAGGATCAGGTATCTAGAATCAAAGATCAAGAATCAAGTACCAGGTGTCAGGTATCTAGAATCGAATATCATGTACCAGTTCTCTGGAATGAAGAATCAGAAATCAGAGATTAGAAATTAAGAATTGTGTTTCAAGGATCAAGAACTAAGCATCAAGTATTAAAGATCAGGTATCAAATATGAAGGGTCAAGAATCAGATTCCAGGTTTCAAGAATCCAACATCAGGTACCAGTTCTCTAGAATAAAGAATCAGAAATAAAAGATTAGAGATTAAAAATCGTGGTTCAAGGATCAAGAACCAAGTATCAAGTGCAAATATCAAGTATCAAGGACCAAGAATCAGGTACTAGGTATCGAGGGTCAAAGACCAAGAATCAGGTACCCACATTGTAAAATCAAGAATTAAAAGTCAGAGGTTATAAATTAAGAATTAAGGTGCAAGAAATCATGATCAAAGATTAAATATAAAATATCAGGGATTCAAATTCGAAGATCAAGGAGTCACAATTTAAGGTTCGAGATTAAAGAATCAGAGATGAAGAATCAGAAATTAAATGCCAGGAATCAGGCAGCTATCATTTAATACAACACCTCGACAGATATTATCTTGTTTAATAAAAGCATATGTCTAATTAATACTATGCCTGTGAAAAGGTACTAATATCGTTGACTGCAATAACTAAGTAAATTTCCATACTCTTAGAGAACATACAAAGACCCAGGCAACTGCATAAGATGGAAAGTAATTGGAAACTGATTCATTAATTTATGTGTTTGAGACCACCGCGATTACGACAGACATTTGTAAAATATTCCGCCTTTTACTTACAATTAGAAGCTAATTTGCTATTCTAATCGTGTCATGCACTCGAACGTTTCCAGTCCTAGATAGAAACGAAAGAGACTCGCACAAAGAATGGCTTCTCACCTGCAGACTTGTGCGAATGTTTAATTATCCGGAATAAGTGAAGAATTAAAAATCGACCCACGTGTACGAAACAATGTTTATTGATTAGCAGCCAATACCCTCGAACGAACAATTTAAAATTTAGCATTTCATCTCGTAATCCATACTCGTTCCCGGCAGCTCTCAATTATAAAATCAACTGCTTAACTAGCAAAAAGACCTTCGTTTTTACACGTACACGTTAATTTCATTTTACTGTTATTATCTTTCCTTCTAACTTCGCTAATGAGTTTGCTTTATACACGTTTGTATGATTATTTATATTTATATATATTAATGGTAGAAATACAGCAAAGTATTGCGATACATCCTGAAAGTATGAAGTATGAAAGGGAAATGAAAAAATGTATGAAAGAATTATTAAAACAGGAGATATAAAAATTATTATCGAAATAAATCAAAGATTTCTTAACTGAAAATTGAAGAAGGGAAAAGAGAAAATTATTTAAGAAAATAGACAAAAAAGTTGTTAAAATAGTAGATATAAAAATAATTATCTAAATAAATCAAAGACTTTAATTGCAAATTGAAGGGGAAAAGGAAGGAAATTATTTAAAACCACAGACGAGAAAAGTATTAAAATAGTAGACACAAAATTGATTACTTAAATGAATTGGAAAATTCTTAATTGTAAGCTGGAAGGAAAGAAAAATAACGAAAACACCGATAAATCAAAGAATTCGAAAATGTAGGAGAGAAGAGGAAAATTATTTGAAGAAAAACACGAGAGAATTGTTGAAATAGTAAATACAACGTTGATTAAATTATTAAAATAAATTGGAAAATTCCAAAAATAAGTGCAAATAAAGAAACAAAAGTCCTAAGTTAAAACTACCTATATTGGTTAAAATCAGGATCCAAAGTTCCAAAAATTATTGCAAACGAGGGAACAAAAATTCAAAGGTAAAACTACCTACATTAATTGAAACCAGGATCCAAAATTCTAAAAACTACTGCAAATAGAAAAACAAAAATTCTAACTTAAAATCATCTATATTGGGTAAAACCAGGATCCAAAATTCCAAAAATGACTGCAAATAAAGAAACAGAAACTTTACATTAAAACTATCCATATTGATTAAAACCAGGATCCAAAGTTCCAAAAATTATTGCAAACGAGGGAACAAAAATTCAAAGGTAAAACTACCTACATTAATTAAAACCAGTATCCAAAATTCTAAAAATTACTGCAAATAGAAAAACAAAAATTCTAAATTAAAATTACCTATATTTACTAAAACCAGGATCCAAAATTCCAAAAATCACTGCAAATAGAAAACCAAAAATTCTAAATTAAAATTACCCATATTTACTAAAACCAGGATCGAAAATTCCAAAACCTGCTACAAATAAAGGAACAAAATCTCAAACTTATAACTACCTGCATTTGTTAAAATGAGATCCAAATATCTCATATGCCGATGTGGCGACTGGAGGAAAAAGAAAAAGTAAAATGGAAAAGGGTTCGCCAAAGTGCACCAGAATGGCGATCTTGATTCCTTCGCGAACGAGTTCATGGTCACGGATAGAGACCCGCTTTAAAAACCGAAAGCGGCACGGATTTCGCAACGCGTTTAAAATACTCGCGACACACTTCTATTTTCCTTCGAGTCTTGCTATTAAACTGAAATTTTGTAATCGATCCTTAATGTCAGCGTTCCCTCTCGAAGACCTCGTCGGAATTCGCGAAAACGCTTCGTACACCTATTGGTCAATGCAGAAATTAGAGGAGAGGCTAACATGGTGAAATTAACTCCTTTGACACATTCTTCGGGGATCGATCGATCGAGTGGATTCCGACGAGAGAAGATTCTTTTCTCTGTTTAGACTGACACATATTTTTAGCGAGAAGCATATTGACATTTTGCACAGGTGGTTATGTTAATTCATTATGTTAAGGAAATACTCACGCAAAACAGCAAAGGCTGCAGAGAATAGAGTCGCCATTAGGCTGAAAAAAGCGTGGAAAAGTTATAATTGTTATTTCAATTTATTATCCTGGTATAATATAATTTCTAACTTTCTTTCATTTTTCTTCATTTTCTTTTTTAATAAGTAACAAAGAAGGTTAATAATTTCTGGCATTCAACCGAATATCCTTTAGCTGAATTAAGAATTTCATAGAAATTATCATAGAAAATACCGATTATTTTATATTACTATTCCAATATAATACAATTGTATAATAATAATATATAATAATATTGTAAAAATTATAACTGTTATTTCAATTTATTATCCTAATATAATATAATTTCTAACTTTCTTTCATTTCTCTTCATTTTCTTTTTTAATAAATAACAAAGAAGGTTAATAATTTCTAGCAATCAACCGAATTTCCTTTAGCTAAATTAAGAATGTCACAGAAATTATTTTATTTTACTATTCCAATATAATTGTATAATAATAAAATATAATAATATTGTATAATAATGAAATATTCCAATATAATATGGGCCTCAATTTTGTTTTATACTTTCTCCGATAAAAAATAGAGAAACATTAGTGATGTACGATTTTTAATTTAATATTCTTCAATTAAAAAATTCGTAAAAAAAAATATTAATTGCTATTTTATTTTATTACTGTAGTCTAACTAAATTACAATGATTTATTTTTCTTTTTCCTAGGAAAAAATACAAAAATTCTCTTCGGTTAAATAATCGATAAAAGATGAGAATTGAAAAGAAATTAAAAAAATCATTTTTACTATCATTTTACTATAATTAAACATATTTTACTATAATTTTCACAATAATTTTCTTCATCGATGCGAAAATGCAGGATTAGAAGAATGTTATTAAAGCGATGCAAAATTAGTGCACATGAGAGAATGAAATACGATTCCCCGAACGACAGTGTGCAATAAAAAGTTATCACGAATCGGCCGATTAAGGTTTTATTGCTACTACGATGGATTTTAGCAAAGAATCGTGCTAGATCGAAGATTATACCATACTCGTACGCGAGTACGTGCTTTACCGAGAAACTGCATGCTTGTAAAACTCTTTAACCGAATAGTGCCAAGGCTGGTACACTGCAATAAAGACGTTTTCGATGTATACATAATTTAGAACCCATTCACAATTACCACCATACTTTAACCGCATTCCGAAGCGCTTATACCGAAGGAAACATTTCAAAACGTACGAATTTCGATGAGATTCTTCAAATTCTATTTAGCACACAGCCACAGAAAATGATCTAAAAGAGCCACGTGCTATTCTACCGTACCGTGCTGCATCATTGAGTAACCGATTTGAACAAAAAGAAAATAGACTCGAGGCGAAACCAGCGTTGCATCACTATGCGTAGATAGCATTTCCAAACCGCAACATGCTCTACCCGCGGTTTCAGAAGCATAATGTCTTCCGTGTTTTACAATCTTGCAAATTTTCCTCGAGCAATAATCCATAATCCACCAAACAAATCTACCATATCGTCTACTATATTAATTATTTCACCCATTCCCTGAGCTCCCACTTTGTCACCATACATTCTACTTCCTCCATTCATCGCGTTCTCGAATCATCTTCATCGTATCTTTCCATGCAGAAGATGAATACCGATCGTACTACCTAATAAACGAGTACAGTCATATCTAACTTAAAAATGACTCAGTCCATTTAAATTCAAAAAGAATTTCACGTCTCGAAATTACCCTGACAAGAGCCACTCTTGAAACACAACCCGACTATTAATTACAATACTTTCACTTGGTATACACACGTGCACCCGAAAAGCCTTTTACGAAAAAGGGTAGAGAGGAATCTTGAACCCCCAAGAGGCAAAGCACAGGTAGCCAAGTATCTTCGAGAAGCACGTTCTTCGAGCAAACTTCACTCTAGCTTCCACTCCTTGGAAACAAGGAAGCACCCTAATGAACCCTGGTCTAAGCTATTCCAAGCATCCCATTATCCAGTGGTAGCGAAAATTCCCCATCACCGTCACCGTCCATCGGTAAGCCGAGCTATTAGCCAGCAGGATCAGCGAGGTTCCTCGTGGTCGAAGGCTGAAGAACTCTGGATGAGACAGAGGAGAGGAAGAAGACGAAGTGGTCGTACCAAAGACAAAGAAGAAGAAGAGCGTACATGGCGGCCGGTCAGCAGGTTCTCAGCGACTAGCCGATCGCAAGACGGGGATGATATGTAAAGCCGCGATCCCCGGGCGGGCTGCAGGGATTGCCTTATCGCATTAAGCATGTTGATTACCTCGTGCCACTTGTCGGTCATTGGTCCAGCCCTGTGGCACGCGCCACGGAGAAGTTGACGGCTGGAGAACGGTGCTGCGAGCCGTCGAATCGCCTTTTGCCGCCATCCATCCGCCTTTCTTCGCGATTTTCACAGGTCACTCGATGCTCGAGTTGCGTATCGTCGGGATGTCCTCGTGTTCATTGTTTTAGCTTGTTTTTCATTCCAGTTCTTCGAGGAGTATCGTTTCAGTGCGACGGGTCTTTCTTATTTTCCTATTGACAATTGCTCGTTCACGATGAGTATTTGACAATTGACAATTGACATGGCGTTTGTTGCATTCTGTATACAAAAGTGCTAAGCGGCGTGATAGCGCTTGTCTGATTTCGTGTCTGAGATACGGGTTGATGGAATCAAGAGTGCAGTTGCTGTCACCTTCGCAATTTACAGTGCTGGCACTTTTTGACACAGGATAGAGGAGGCGCTATCGCGCTGCTTGGTTCTCATATGGTTAAAGACTCTGAGCAGAAAAGGACAAGAAAAGGGAAGAGAATCGGAAATGAGTGGATGAGATAAAAGCCAGGTCTTTCGGGGAAAACGTTCGTCGATGAACAATAACTTAGAACTTAGAAGTTAGTATTCGGAACTTTGAGCTCAGGCCTCAGGGCTCTGAACTCTGAGCTCAGAAGATAGAACTTGGAACTCAGGGCTCAAGGCTCAAAACTTGGAACTCTGAATTCTGAGCTCAGAAGATATAACTCGGAACTCAGGGTTCAAGATTCAAAACTTGGAACTCTGAACTCTGAGCTCAGAAGACAGAACTCGGAACTCAGGGCTCAAAGCTCAAAACTTGGAACTCTGAACTCTGATCCCAGCAGTTAGAACTCAAAATTCAGAATTCGGATCTCAGAGCTCGGGACTCAAAACATTGAACTCTGAACTCTGAACTCAGAACTCAGAACTTAAAACTGAAGAATTATAATTAATGACGAAGAAAGCCAGACCCTTTGGGGAAAACGTTTCTGGACGAAAAACAACTTAGTACTCAGAAGTAAAAACTCAGATCTCAGAACTCTGAATTCAGAGCTCAAAAATAATAATTAATGGCTAAGAAAGCCAGGCCCTGTTAGAAAAACGTTCGTCAATGAACGAGAACTTAGTACTCAGACGTTAGTACTCAGAGCTCTGAACTCTGAAATCAGAAATAATAATTAATGGCTACTAATTAATAATCAACAACTAATAAATACAATTGGTCTGTGATATTTCCGATGACCGAAGATTTAAAGGAAATTTTAAGGGAAAAATTAGAGAAAGCGAGGGTGGATCCTCTCGAGAAAGCAGTGTCATATCGAACTTATTAACGAGAGATCAAAGGATGTCGTTAGGAGAGTTGTTTGCAATTATTTTTCTCCTTATACGAGACACAAGTTCAGCTGTGATATGATAATCGATTTCCTCTCGGATAGACAGACCAACGCAGATCAATCTCTTGATCGCCAAAATCGCCTGACCTTACTCCACTCAATTCTATCTATGAACAACTTCGGAAAACAAAGTGTATCGAACACGAATAAATTCGCGTAATGAATTAATACGAAGAATTAATAATGCTTCCAATTAAATGAACCAGACAAAAACTACAAACGAAATTCGCACAGTTATAAATTTGGTCCTTAATCGTTGTCAATCATGTATCGCCAGGAACGGTGGACATTTTGAAATGCAGTATTAATTAACTCTGATATCGAAGATGTCAGATATTAAACACATAAATCTATTAGAGCCTGTATCACTTGTATTCCATATTTGTATTATAACTTTTTAATAAATCTATAAATGACATGATTATAAATATTTTTTTCTTATTCAGTGGCACAAAATATACTGACAAAGTTTGAACATTAAAACCTGAGACACCCTGTACACTATTCGCATTTAATTAATCGCTTTCTTTGTATAATCTTATTTTAATAATAAATATAGTGCGAGGTGAGATTGAAGAGGAAGTTAGGGGTGGGTTATTGGAGAAGGATGAGAACTACGAATTACGTTCTTTTGAAAACTGTACACTCCACAATAAGTATCTCAAAATTATAATAACGAAGCGGAAGGAATTTTTTGGGGCCAAGTATAATAAAGACATGTTGACAAAAATAGACAAAAATGTAGACAAAAATAAAGTAAATTTGTAAATCCTTTAAATTATCACCTCTCGATGTTTATAAATTAATAAAATAAAATTTTTAAAATACGTCAAACAGATTCAGAAATTAAATTAAAAAATTAACAAGATTCTAATTTTGAGAAATTACAGAATTTTCTTATCAAGTTAAAAGAAAAATTGCAACAACGGTGGTTTGCACCATTCTCAGGAAATAGTACCTGCTAAGAAAGAAAATTACAAAATTATAATTAAAATAAAAAAATTATCATTGCATAAATTACGTAAATATAAAATATTCACGTATGCTTCTAACTACGACCTAGAAACGAAGGGGGCACTTAGGTTTACCATAAGTATCCTTAAAGAATCCTTTACGTAATGATAAATGTGGGGATTATAACGCGAAGAATGTACAGTTGCAAGTGCTATACACATTTATTGCAAGAACGGGGAATGTTGTGCGAGTGAAATTGACGAACTGAGTAAAAACTTGTAAACAGTCGTAAATCACGAATGAACGTTACATCACAGCTTAATCTAAGTTACTTGGTTATATAGCTTTTTGTAACGAAGCAAATATCTAAGAATAATAACAGGTTCCTCGTTCATGGTGTATAGTAAATTAGCGATGAATCAGGAGAATAAACCGGTGAAAGGAGGAAAAGGCATGGACGATTTATGGAGACACAGGATTCCAGAAATTCTACGACCCACGTGGGGGGTGGAAAATTTACAATGTTCGTAAGGCTATTTAATGTCAATTAGAATTGACTTTAACTATGATTTACTTGGCGACTATTCTCAATAAGAATTTTTATCTAATCCTAACTTACACCTAACCTAAATCAAACGCTACGTTCTAAAATATTAGTAAAATGAAGAAAAATAAATTTGAGTGAGCCTTTCAACCATAGATACAGTGTTACCAACCTTAAAACGGCCGGAAATAAATATTTAACGAAGATAAAATGAAACGAGATCGAATTCCATAACGAGAAGCTTGAACTGTAAACGCGGAGGGGATACGAGTTTCAAATTTCGCGCCAAAACTTTAAACCGCGGAACTTAATAATTCCTTCGCTTTTCCTGTATATAAGAAAATATGATAAATAATAAAAGTTAATAAAAGTGATCGAATTTTGAAAGTTATTAACATTTTGTCACGAATGTTTAACTTTCGTGAAGGTATTGAGAGTTTGTTATGAAAATTTAAGTTTATTTTCAATTTGCTCGGACTTGAAGGTTTCGTCGCTTGTATAACTCTGTCAGGAGTATTATCCTTCTATCAACTGCTCTTGTTATGATTAATGTCGAGTTCGAATTGTAAGAAAAATTGTAAAAAGCATCGCCAATATTAATTCGCCACGATTCATATAGCACGACGCGACAGAGGAACTGTTCGACCGCCATTTTTTTCGCTTAACGTTGCAACGTCCTATAGTGTCGGTTACATCCGGTTGCTTTTGCATTGCAAATCGGCAGATCTTCGCTGGATTTGTCACGCGAACAAGAACTTGGACCGTTACTCGTAACGTTATGCATAAATATTGATGCACTTCGAGTGCTGCCATATTGTTTCTTACAATTCTCGTCTTACAGTACCCTGAACCTTATAATAATAATAATAATAATAATAATAATAATAATAATATAATAACAATAATATTATATTATTATTAATAGTCTTATATTTATTTTTCAATAATTATTATATTAATAACAATAAGAAAATAATATCCGTAGATTATTGATAATTAATAATTAATATCAACGTCCAAGTATTGCCAATGCTATTACCAATACTAGTTTTATATTTATTTTGCAATAATTATGATATTAGTAATAATAAGAAAATAATATCTGTAGATTATTAATAATTAATATCAATGTCCAAGAATTACCAATACTATCATCTTAACAATTCATACCAGTACTAATAATAAGATGATCAGTACCATTTCTGTTATATTAATTTATAATATATATTGTGTGTAATTATTATAATTGTTATAATAATAATTATATTATATATATATTTATAATATATTTTAATTAAAAACTTTTATAATAATTACATACAATAACAATAAATATGAATAAAAATGTTGAGTATCAATATCTTAATAATTAACATATACTAATATCCAAGTATATCAATATATTACCCGAATGATTGAATATCAACATCCAAAGATAATCAACAATATTATCCTACCTTCCAATTGCTCGACAAAATTCCCACTAAAATCCGTGGCAAATATAAGAAGCAAGGAACTCAAATTCCTCACCCTACTGCACCAATCCATGACTCCTTGATTTACAACGTTAAACGACCCACCTCCGTTCTCCAATTGCGTACCAGCCTTCGATCTCGATCGATCTCAGCCGGTTGCCCGCAAAGGAGCGCGCGTGCGAGCTCAATTATCCGTCGACGACCGAATAATAATCGCCTGCCGGCAAATAAACCCGGCGAATAAGCTCGACGCATAAACTCGGCGAATAAACTCGGCGAATAAACCGGGCAAAACAATGGCTGCTTTTGCTGCGCGGGTCGGTCGTTAAATCGTTGGCCGGCAGTGATCGATCGGAACGGTAATCGCCGCGTAAAAAGCGGCCATTGCGAGAGAGCGATCGCAGTAGTGTGCCTGGACGTTCTTCCGTCATGATCGATTCGGCGTGGAAGCCGCGCAAGCGGAAGAGCATCGCGAGAAACGGAGAACCGAGCCGATTTCAGTGCCGATTTCCGCGTATTTCTTTTCCCTCTTCCTCTCGCGAGTGGTGTAGGCAGAAGGGAATAGAATAGGCAGAGAATAGTGCCGATTTCTACGATTTCTTTCTGTCTCAAGTCGCGCGAGTAGAACAGACAGAGAATAGTGCCGATTTCCACGATTTTCTTTCTCTAGAAAAAGATGGAGAATCGAGTCGATTCGAGTGCCGATTTCCGCGATTTTTCCTTCTCTTTTTCCGGCACGAGTTGCGTAAGAGGAAGAGGATACAGAAAGATCGAGAACAGTGTCGATTTGAGCACCGATCTCCACCATTCTTATCCCCTTCTCTCGAAAATTACATAGGGATCGGTAAATGACAGTTTTTCACGATTTTTCTTCCCTTCTCTCGCGAATGACGTATGTAAAAGAGAAGGGAGAATGTTATGGGAAATGGAGCTGATTGGAGTGCCGATTTTCGAATCTTTCTTTCTCCTTCTATCCTTTCCTCCTCCTCTCACAAACGGTATAGAGATCGGTAAAGAAGAATATCGATTTAAGTGCCGATTTTTGAGATTTTCTTTCTTTTCCTATCCCCTTTTCTTCCTCTCACAAACGGTATAGAGATCGGTAAAGAAGAACACCGATTTAAGTGCCGATTTTCGTGATTTTCTTTCTTTTCCTATCCCCTTTTCTTTCTCTCACAAACGGTATAGAGATCGGTAAAGAAGAATATCGATTTAAGTGCCGATTTTCGTGATTTTCTTTCTTTTCCTATCCCCTTTTCTTCCTCTCACAAACGGTATAGAGATCGGTAAAGAAGAATATCCATTCAAGTGCCGATTTTTGTCATTTTTGTCTTCCCTCTTTCTCTCACAAATGTATGCAGAAGAAGATAGAGAGGGATGGGAAACGCTGTGGATTGGAGCCCTGATTTCCGCGATTTTTTCCCTTTTCTCTACATCCCTATTTCCGTCTCTATTCATATCTATCTCTCTCTCCCTTTCTCTCTCTTGCGAGTGACCATTAATAGACGGCGAAAGTTGCAAAGGCGTACGCTATGCCGCACCGAAATCCCGCGATCCGTGACAAAATATGCGAGCATGGCTGGTCACTAGCCTCCAAGCTCGCCTCGATCTTAATCATGGTATTAGTTGGCTACTTCGTGGAAGAATGTTGCAATAAGATCGCGGATTTTACTCGCCTTTTTTCGTGTTTTTCTTCGTCCGTTTGGGGAACGGGTTCGAGTCCCGGATATGGTATCACCGATTCGGATTGTCGATCGTTGCGATTGGAAAAATTGCCGGGTTGATTGCGAGCTCGGTGTTTAATTATGGTAATGGCGAGGTTACGTGACGGAGATGGAATTTGCTTTTTAGTCGATCGCTCGATAAGGAGGACTATTGGATGGATATAATATACGTTTTCGTGTGTTTATGCACTTTTTTGCACGATCGAGGTAATGCTAAACGAGACGGATGTCGTATTAAAATGCAGCAAAACGATTTTCTACGTGGAAAAATAATTTGAAGACTATACACGTGCTAATTGCAAATAAATTAATTTACGCGTAATACACGCGAACTACATAATATATAATACGCATAATGCATAAACCGATTTCAAAAAATTGCGTGTGGCTGTCATTTACATTTAATTCGCAATTAAGTGCGTATAATTTACGTATAATTGACGTGCTCTTTATATGTCACTCGAATGTATGTATTATCAGTGTTAAGAGAATACAAAAGATCCATTTCACTTGGGTGAAAAATATTTGGAAATTAATTTTTAAATATTTTTGTCTCGTCTAAAGTATTCCTCGAATCTTTTTTACCAAAATATTTTTCTTCCAACACAATTATGCTAGTTGTACGGTAATCACGGTAAATCTTAAACCAGTCTCGCTACCAACCGTCCGTTTCTCCTAATCCATTTGCAACGTTGTAGCTGGTCAAAGTAATAATAGAAGAATCTATTTAATTTTTCCATGAAATATCGGATAAAAAGGCAGCGAGTAAGAGGAGAACAGTAGCAAATACAGTAGTTTCTCTTATTATGCTCTCTGTACTGGTCTACAATTAAGAAAACGAGTCATAGTTCTTCGTTTGTTGTCTGGCTGCCAACGATCCGCTTTCCCTTCTTCTTCCGTGCTCTACTCCCTCTTTCAACTCATTTATGCGTTAATTACACCCCATAACTTCATTCCACGACTCTCTTTGTCCGCCATTTGTATAACTATCATTTCAATACGAATGACAAATCGAGAGCCGTTTAGAAATCAACCTCGTCTGTTCTAAATTAAAAATTGGTATAAAACACAAGTAACGTCATCAATAATGCAAAAACAGATCTGCATAAATATAGTCATCATCAATCATTCCACTAAATTGCATAAGAAACGTGATTCATTACTGAGGGAAAAAGTTGTGCGCGAATTTGAGTTAACGATGCTGATTTAAAAGGATTTCTCCTGTTTCGCTTAATGCACGCGCAAAGGATACGATCCTGGGAGTGAAAAAATATCACTTTGGCTAGATCACTTTTGATCGATATCGATTGATCAATGATGGAAATGTGGACAGCAAAATTTTTGTTTTCAAATAAACAATTTCATTTTTAATACTGAAATATTAAAATTCGACTATTTATCAGCCATCCACTTTCAAATTTCTGAGATTTTTAATTTAGTATTATCACACTTGCTATTATTAAATAATTGCAATTATTCTCGAATTATTATCGTCATATAATTTTCACTATACTAGATTCATTATTACCAATATTAATATAGGCTTATTTTTGTTATTACATTACTATTATGGAGAATTATACGTAATTATTTTTTTCTGGGTTATGGTGACTACTGCATGATAAAATATAGCTTCTGATTAACATATCAAGACTTTTTCAGATCCCTCGATAAAAATGAAAAATTACAGGAAATCAAGCTGTCTCTAACTGTCGCCATTGCAACGAAAAAATGGTCAACTGATAAACGAGCTCATAAGGTAAATAATAAATTATATTCATGAGATTTATATTGGCAATGAAGGAAACGAAGAATCTCGTTCGAGCTGCTGTCTCTTCGCGAAGACGAAACAATCATAACTTCGAAAAAGAAAATTATAATCTATGTGGATTATCTAATACCTTTCGAACTTTTACGTCAATCTACAAATTTCGACAATTCAAAATTTATTAGTCAACAATTTATAACAAATTCGTCGATTCATTTATTCCAAAAGAAACACATTTACTTTCTCTATAAACAGAGTATTGAAAAATTCGCCAAAAACCTGTAATTAAAATCCAGCAATCGCAGAAGACGATAATAGAATTTAGGGAGTCTGATGAATTCGAGATAATTTCCAAAATTACAAATATATTTTAGCATTCATATAATCCTGGGGAAAAAATTCAAATTAAAAGATCCCAAGCAGTCATCGTCAATTTGATCATTCTTCAAATAGTGCCTCGTCTATTTCTCGCAAAGCAACGTGTCCAAAAATTCCTATCCTTTGACAAATCTCAACGACTATCAATGTCAGGCGAATGTCAAAGTGAAGATTAATCGAGGAAGGAAAGACAAAGCGAAAAAGTAAGATGCGAAATGCAAAACAGAACATTTTCCACGGCACTTCCTCGTTGAAAACAAGATGGTGGGGCAAAGTTGACGAGTGAACTGCACGATCCTACGTCTGTGTATCTTGTGACCTTGACCGTGAATTTAAATGATTCAGAATTATCCTCGCGCAGTCCACTGTTATCCTCGAAGCTATATATATGAACCTGCGGAACGAATGAGAATCAGTTCTGTATCAGGCAGAATCAAGAAGATTGCCGATTAATTTGCTCTCTGGAGTGACCTAAGCGAAGATGTTCTCCAGGTTGCTTCTTCTTCTTGCGGTCATTGGGTTCGCGGCGGCTACAATTCGTGAGTAAAAGTGAAGTTTAAGGAATAATGGAAAATTTGTCTGTCTACCGTGTCGATGTCGTACTAGTGAAGTCTGCTGAACGAATGAGAATCAGTTCTGTATCAGGCAGAATCAAGAAGATTGCCGATTAATTTGCTCTCTGGAGTGACCTAAGCGAAGATGTTCTCCAGGTTGCTTCTTCTTCTTGCGGTCATTGGGTTCGCGGCGGCTACAATTCGTGAGTAAAAGTGAAGTTTAAGGAATAATGGAAAATTTGTCTGTCTACCGTGTCGATGTCGTACTAGTGAAGGATAATTGGATATGTTGCAGGTGATAGTAATTGTAGTATTGTGGTGAAGATAAATAGATATGTGACGTATAAATAAGTAAATAGCCCTTTTATTTAATTAGATATTAAAACAAAAATTGAGATTAATTTTTTTTTAAATTTCAAATTAATTTCTTTAAAAATTGAGATTAATTTTTTTTAATTTCAAATTAATTTCTTTAAAAATTGAGATTAATTTTTTATAAATTTCAAATTAATTTCTTTAAAAATTGAGATTAATTTTAAGCGTTTTAAAATAAAATATTAATTGGATATCTAAACCCAGTCATTTTGACGGATTTGATAGTACTAATATCGGACGGTATTCTAGACTTTTGTGTAAAATTATTTTTCTAAACAATTCGCTTGATAATTACACGTTGCGAGTTATTTACATCGCTTCAAAAGCATAGTAAGCGTAATTAGAACAACTGACTGTAATTTATACGCAATTAATAAGTCAGAACTCGGTGCTCCGAACTCGACCTCAGGACTTAGATCTCGGAATTCAAATACTCTTTAGTAACATTCTTTAGTAATAATACTCGTTAGTAATATTAATTTAGTAATATTTAGTAATATTTATTTCATACGTTTCGTACAGTGAACGATTTTTATTACGTGTCTACATATTCACAAAGTATTAGAGCAGATAAAATGTACATTAATTATATAATTAATATAATAATGAATATAATTATTAATTGTATTAATTATACAATATGTTTATAAATAAATATACGATGATATATATTATTTAATAAAGAAATGTACCTGTTTCAATACAATATTAATATATAAAGCCAGAATATAAATAGAAAGATAATATAATTATCAATTACATCCTAATTAATAAAACGTAAAATCACATTTTAATTAGTATGCGATACAATGTAATACATGCATACTTATAATTGTAATACATGTAACAGTATTATATCCTGAATTCTACCTATGATGGCACTCGAAACGCTCTAGAAAATTCATTATTTAGATATTTAGTAAAGAAACAAAGTGCACTCGTCGTTTCAACAGATATTAATATGAATCGAATGCAATAATAGTTAACCAAGTATCGTAGAGCCAACAAGGCTGAGGAACACGGAAGGAAAATTTCTCGCGCGATGTTTCGTCGACACTGTCGAAAACCAGGAAGTCGATAGACTTAATTGCACGTGGAATTTAAAGCAACTACGAGTTACGACAGATAGACAACTGTCTAATTCTTAAGAGTCAAACCGCACTCACTGTTTTCGAACAGTTTCACCACTGCAGATGAGAAGAGTTCGCGTAATTTCGCGTTGTTCGATCTTAATTTGCAAAACGACGTGTTTGGTGTGTAAACGAAAAGAGCTAACAAAATAATTTGACGATTTTATCCATTCTTTTGCTGTTATTTCGTGAGGTATTATTCAAATGTCAGGATCAAATTTTATTAAGCAATCTGCAAAATTTCCATTGCTTCGACCGAGGAAAAATATTAAGAAACGGGTCAAATTTAAAGTCAACGTGAATGGAAAAATAAAAAATTTAGGAGGAAAGGAAAATTCTAAAGACTGGTTATGTATCTGATTAACAAGGTTACTTTTAGATAGACTTTAGATTTGGATGCACCGAAATTTTTCATCCTAAATATATCTCCTATTATATTACAGTAATTTTAACTATTTTTCTCATAGAAAAGAATTAAACTATTCTGTAGTAGATTGAACAATCAGTATAGTGATTGTGCTACATCAGTGTAAATTAATTATTTTATCAAACTTGGAAATATGCACTAAACTTTATCTATTTGAAATATATTTTCCAATCTTCCTATTTTGTAAAAAATAAAATTATCCTTTATTGAATTGTGCGTAGGAACCTAATCATACGTAAAATAATTGTTCTTTTGGCATGTCTTTCTTCTCTTCCAAATTTTCCTACTCTGTGTAAAATTATTTTCTTTGATATATGCAACAAAATTTTGTATTCGAAATATTTTCTTCGATATTCCTATTCCGTGTAAAATTATTTTCTTCGTTATAATAAAATTATCCTTTATTGAATTGTGCGTAACAACCTAATCGTACGTAAAATAATTATTCTTTTGGCATGTCTTTCTTCTCTTCTAAATTTTCCTACTCTGTGTAAAATTATTTTCTTTGTTATACGCAGCAAAATTTTGTATTCGAAATATTTTCTCCGATTTTCCTATTCCGTGTAATATTATTTTCCTTGTTATACGCAGCAAAATTTTGTATTCGAAATATTTTCTCCGATTTTCCTATTCCGTGTAATATTATTTTCTTTGTTATACGCAGCAAAATTTTGTATTCGAAATATGTTCTCGGATCTTCCTATTCTGTGAAAAATAAAATTACCTTCTAATTGACCGAACGCTATACGCAATCATACGTAAGAGGATTATTTTGTAACAACAAGAAAAGCGAAGATTATAAACCGCTAGGTGGGAGAAAGGCAAAAAGGTATATCCATGACTTAATGGAAATACAGATTATGTCACGTCGAGTAATAATACAGCTCCGCATCCGGTGCGCTTAAGAATAAATCAATGGCAAAGTACAAGCACGAAGAATAATTAAATAAGCAACTATATCGAATTAATTGATTTTATTACCCGATGATATGCAAATTAGCCGAGTATTTCTCCGTCTTTGTATTTTAAACTTTCAAGTAACAGATCGACTCTGTTGACAGATTATATCAATTATATGTCAATTGTATCTTAATTGTATAATACTGATTATGACCGAGTGTACGATTATTCGAGTAACGGAATTTTATGAATATTCTTAAACGACTGGGAGAAACGAATGTTTGACAACGTACGTCACAGATCAAACTACATTACGCAAGGAAATTGGAATTGCTAATGTCGCAGTATTTATACAATATTTACAAAACTTATTTATCTCCGAACGAAATAAGTAAACGTTAACGTTCTTAGAAATGCAGATTTTTCTTGCATTATGCCTTGTTTAAATTATCTCGTAATAGTCTTCTTTGCACTCATTTTAATTTTTAATCGTCTAATCTACCTTCCTCAACTTTTAAATCAATTCCTGCCTTTACAGTAGAGTATATTACTGCTGTAGAAAATTAATTTTGATTTTTATTCAAGCAGGAACTTTAGATGCTAAGGATGGTGATAATAATTGGAAATTTTTACTGATATTACGAATTAGAAAAAGAATAGTTTATAAAAATAAATGAAAGATGATGAGGACAAAAGCAAAGGTTATAAATTAAAAGTTAGAAATTACCAAAATCTTTAGAAAAGATATCGCATCTCGTAACAGGAATATAAAAATCAATTTCCAAGTTAAAAATTTGTTTTTATTTCAATAAGGAATTTTAATTCTTTAATTTTTATATTGCTATATTTTTGTAATTATTTTAATATTTCTCTGTTATCTTGACGTTAAATATTTATTTCTTATGTTCTTATTTTATTTCATATTTTATACGTATTTATGTAGAATGGCGAAAACTGGTTTCGAGGCACCGAAAATTTAGAAAACAAGAACAGAATAACACAAACTGAAAACTCTGAAACTAATTTAACTTGGGAAAAGAGCACCATGGTAACGAAACGAAAACACACACAGACGCACTCTAATTTAACTCTCTTTCCAACACCGAGCGACTCACGCCCGTGCTAGTCACAATTGATTTCTAAGGACTCTGTTTTGGTCGTCGAGGACCATGCTTTTATACTTTTCTTAACCTGTACTTCGCCACGCCACTTAATTTTGTTACCGAAAATAACTTCTCCATTTGCTTCTAGAAAATATTGATCAATTTATAATTTATTTTTATTGGCAATAGCCGATTCGCGATTTCTTTCCGAAATGGTATCCTACATTTATGCTGATTTTTGTGCCTTCTTTCCAGCATCTTACATCCACGTGTGCGGCAGAAGGAACCCGCACTTCGATGAGTGTGTCAACAATAGCATGACAGCCCTAAGAGGGAATCTACGCAATGGAATGCCAGAGTTGGATATCCCATCGATAGAGCCACTGAAAATCAACGAAATGAAAATTATCGACGAGCCACAGATTAAGATCACCGCCAAGGACATCAAACTCAACGGACTCTGGACTTTCCATCTAAATTTCTTGCACCTGGACCTCGAGAAGAAGGAGTTAACTGCGGATTTCGCGTTCGACAAAATTACATTGGATGCTGACTTCCTTCTCAAGTTGAATATCCTGGTCCCCATACAGAGAAAGGGAGTCATGGTCTTGAAATGCAGTATGTCAAAGGATTTGAATTTATGTCACCTATGACGTCACTTCTCATGAAGTCCTTAAATTCAGGATGAACATAATGGCCGGATAAAATCATAATGAATCGCAGAGGGATCCTTCGTTACGTTCTCTTAGCGTTGCAATAGTTGGAATAGATTTTCCTTGAATAGCACCTCGTTTGAGAATGGTCAGGTGCATTTGCATGGCTGAGGAATTTTAAACAAGTCACTTAGGACCGAAGTATACAGTGCAGTAACAGTGTAGAAGTTAGAAGGTAGAACGTTGACAGAAGCTGTGAAGTGAAAATGCACAGTGAAAAACTTACTGTGGATTGCATGTAGAGCATAGAATGTAAAATATGGCGCAAAATCGAACGTAAAACGTGTGCAGGCACAATCGTGAAATATAAAACTTCGCGTGAGACGAAGGACGTGATACATATGTTCAGGGGGTGGAACGTGAAACAACGTGTGGAACATGGCTCATGTAGAATGTAAATTGGTTACGTCGTAGGGTTTGGGGAACACAGTAGCTTGTATTACCTAGGACATAGGACGCAGAATGTAGATCATGCTACCTGGCACATAGGATAAGGAATGTAAATCGTACGACCTAGGACACAGGGCATAGGATATAGGTTTAACCATTTAGGACGGAGGACGTAGAATGGAGGACAACTTGAGACACAGAATATAGATTATAGGATGTATTACACAGAATATAGACGTACTGTTTAAAACATTAGACTATTAAAGGCAATATATTATTTAAATCATTACAACTGTAATTAGAACAAGGTACAGAGAATACATGAGGTACTTCCTAAAATATAGTACATAAAATATTTGCAAAATACACAATTGAGAATATAGAATATAGGATGTATTACACAGAATTACCTGGGACACACGACGCAGGATGTAGATCATGCTACCTGGCACATAGCACAGAGAATACGAATTGTACTATCTAGGACACAGGACATAGAATATAGGTTATACCATTTAGGACGTGGGACGTAGAATGGAGGACAACTTAAAACACGGAATATAGAGTATAAGATGTATTACATAGAATATAGACGTACTATTGAAAGCAATATATTATTTAAATCATTACAGGTGTAGCTAGAACAAGGTACAGAGAATACATGAGTTACTTCCTAGGATATAATACATAGAATATTTGAAAAATACGCAATCGAGAATATAGAACATAATGTAATACATAGAATATTTGAAAATACGCAATCGAGAATATAGAACATAATATAATACATAGAATATTTGAAAAATACGCAATCGAGAATATAGAACATAATATAATACATAGAATATTTGAAAAATACTCAATCGAGAATATATAACATAATAATATAATTTTATTTCACTAATTCATACACATTTCGGTTTTTGGATTTACATAGCTTTCCTTATCCAAGATATTGCACCTTTCTGGTTTACCCAACTCTCCATACACATAACTGACTTACACTCTCAACCTTAGCCATTCAAGACATAGATAAGGGAATGTAGAACAATATAGAATATACAGAATATAGAAGAGAATATAGAACATAAGGTATAGTTTATGAATCATTGGATGTAACATGTAATACATAACACATATATTCCTTACACCTAGAACGTAGAATAGAAAATCTCGAACATAGCACATAGTCTGTAGAATATACGATATACGGGTTGGCCAAGGAGTGACGTCGGTATTTTCAGTGTAAAATAAAATAGGAAAAGGTTTTATCGAATTTTGATCTGTTACTTTTGATATACATTAATGTATACAAGGACCGTTTTCTACGAAAGTTCGATACTACTTATCGATCAACCTAATAGAACATGAGACATTCTTCTGTCCACTAGAATTGCAGAAGCACAACTAAAGCCAAAAAAGAAAGAATAGTGACATTCAGCCTCATCAAAATTCTCTCATCGATCCATTATCAAATAATCCTGAGTAAAGGGACCATTTCGTAACATCAACTTCTCATCTTCTACCTTCCAACCATGATTCTAACAGAACACTTCACCATCAAATATTATGGCAACACGACATGCACGATAATAACTACGAACTCTCTTTTTCAGATAACGCAGGTGCGAAAATAAAAGCGTACTACAAGTTAATCAAGCGCGATAATGAACAGTACGTCCATTTCGAATCGATACCCATTAAGTTGGACATCAAGGACTACACTGCTGATTTCAAGACGGAAAACCTTGACAGTTCTCTGCAAAGTGCTATCAACGATGTGCTGGGTAAAAATCACGACGATGTCCTGCGTACCATCCAGCCCCATGTAGAGAAAGCCATTTCTAAGTCATGTATAAACCTGACCAACAAGATCTACGATAATTTCACATACGATGAACTTTTCCCGGATCGTGCATAGACAATATATTCGAGAATTCCTAAGTCTATCCCTAAAGAGAGAAAAGGAACACATTGACGTCCACATATGTTCGTTGATAATAAGGAACGATGTGCAAGAATGAAGTGCATAATAGTTTTTCATTAAATGGTAACGAAGTATTGAAAATTGGCTGACTATTTAAAAAAATGTTTTAAATGCATTTATGTATGAAAACTAGTGATGTCATGTGAATAAAATAAATGGGATACGTATAGAACAATATAATAAAGAATAAATAATAATTAATTATTAATAAATAATTAATTATTCCAATGAGGAATTTTATGGAGTTCCAATTTTTGTCGTACTATCGTTATTATTTTTATCATATTTTATTTTTTATTATAATTTTATTATTTATTCATTATTATGATTATCATTTATTCATTTATATCATTATTATTTTTATCATATTTCTTTTTTGTCCTCATTAATATTACAAAAAGCACATTTTAATTTGTTATTTTCGTAACAGAAACATATTTGCATTTGCTTTTTCGTTATTAATAAATGTAAAAGACATCGTTTGATACTCTACATCGATATATGAGCAAATTCAAAAATACAGCATCTTCCCGCCATACCGACTCATCGCGCGTGCGCCAGCAACCGTCTTCAAGCCGAAGCCAGTCGAACTACCGATGCACGTGTCAAAATATTTGCGTCCGAGAAAGTGAAATTTTCTATGCCTATACAAAAAGTTTCGTGAAGTAGGGACATCAGTGACCGACGTTTCAATTGCCGCAATCGATGAAATATATATTAAAGAATAATAGTGAACCGAATCGAGTATTGTAGACCGAGTATCGTAGAATTGTAATTATAGGTTACGTTTGCAGCATTCTCGATAATATTTACGAACGGGCCACATCACGAGTATAAGCAATTGTGTGAAATGTATCAAGAGCAAGATAGCTGAGTGCCAAATGTATAAAGTGATGTGTGAAATCAAGTGACACGAGTGTAAATCGAAGAAAGATATTCCGTAGGTAGAGTTTCGATTATAGGTACTAGTTATCGTTTGTCTATTATGATATTTCATAGATATAGGTAGGAAAAGGTAGTCTAATAGTTTCCACAATTTATCTTCGATTTCGACAGTGTATAAAGAGATAGGAGTGCAAGTGCGTATCGTGCCGTGCTATATAGCTATTTCTTATCGCTTACCATTTCGACTTCGACTTTTGACTACGATTTTTCATTATCACTCGGTACAATAGACTTTTATATCTCATGGCGAAGCTCTCCGAAATTTCGATCTTGGATTAGGACTTTTTACATTCACTCGATAGAATAAAACCTTCTCAAATAGAATCAGTGGTTCTCTTTCGATTTTTCCGGGTTTTTTTCGAACAACAGTGCCGGAAGTAGGGGAGTGTGACAGGTCGTACTGCGTCGTTATCTTTCGTGGCTTAGCTCTTTGAAATTTGCATTTCGAATTCGGATTTTCTATAATCACTCGATAGAACGAAACCTCCTCTAATAGAATCAGTGGTTCTCTTTCGATTTTTCCGGTTTTTTTTCGAACAACAGTGCCGGAAGTGGGGGAGTGTGACAGGTCGTACTGCGTCGTTATCTTTCGTGGCTTAGCTCTTTGAAATTTGCATTTCGAATTCGGATTTTTTATAATCACTCGATAGAACGAAACCTCCTCTAATAGAATCAGTGGTTCTCTTTCGATTTTTCCGGTTTTTTTTCGAACAACAGTGCCGGAAGTGGGGGAGTGTGACAGGTCGTACTGCGTCGTTATCTTTCGTGGCTTAGCTCTTTGAAATTTGCATTTCGAATTCGGATTTTTTATAATCACTCGATAGAACGAAACCTCCTCTAATAGAATCAGTGGT